AACCCCTGCAATACAGTTAATGTGTATTGGTGCCTTTTTTGTCCCTAACACTATGTTAAATTATGCAGATTTGGGAGCTTTGGATCTATAGCAAAAAGAAATCTGGGACTGCCAGGCATGGTGCACATGACTGTAATCCCAGAAACTTGGGAGATTGAGGCAGGAGGATTACAAGTTTGAGGCAACTTCGGCAACTTATTGAGTCCCTGTCTCAAAATAAAAAATAAGGGCAAAGAATCTGACTCAGTAGTAAAGTACTTGTCTAGCACGCATGATACCCTGAATTCAAGCCCCAGCACCTCAAAAGAAAAATTCTCAGAAACTGTAAAGAGCTGGGGACAAATCTCAGTAGTGAAAAATGCTGCTGCCTCTGCTGCTGCTGCTGATGATGATAGTAATAATTATTTAAAATTTAAAAAAGTAGACTATGGATAGATATTTACAAGATGGTGTGATAATTCCAATTGTGGAAATATTTACTGGATATAAAAGTAGCAACAGAAGAGAGGAATAAACTCTTTCGTGAAAGGACAAAAAGCTTCATGAAAGAGGAATATTCATATTGAATTGAAGGATGGACAAGTCAGCATTCTCTGTAGAACAAGTTCAGACAGAGACCATTTGTGGGAAATATTATAGCAGTCTGCTAACTCTTAGAATTGAATGGAGTTAAAATCTTGTTTGTGCCCAGTTAATAGAAGAGTCTCTAAGAGACACTAAATAACATTTTCATATGAGTTATTGCAATAGTTCTCAAACTTTGGTATGTATCAGAAGACACTTGTTGAAACACAAATTGTTGCAACCTACCCATAGAGTTTATTATTCAATAGACCTGGAACAGGACTGGAGCATTTGCGTTTCTGATAAGTGCCCAGATGATGCTGGTCCAGGATAATACTTTGAGAACTATTGATTTATTGAATCCTTCCTGTGTATCTGGCACTTTCAATGTGGTGAGCACACAGAGATGAAAAGAAAATATCCTTGCTGTAGAATTGTTCATGGTACAGTGCCAGTGACAGACCAGTAAATATATAATGATGGTACAGTGTGATGGATGTTATTTACATAGAAACAGGTCACTGTAAGAGTGCACCAAAAGGGCCTCTAATTCAGAAGGAGGCCAGAGACTAGAGTTATAAAGAATATCTGTAATCTTGAACTGAATTAAAAACAATTATTTATAAAAAAATCAGGAAGTAATAATAGAAAAATGAGTATGAATCATGCTTTGCACAAGGCTGGTAAATAGATTCATTCTTAGTTTTGCTTTTAAGAGATTTCTATTCAGCAGAATCTACCAAATTATGCTATGTCTATGTACAAATATATCACAATGAATCGTGTGTGTGTGTGTGTGTGTGTATAATGGTATGTATACTATATAGGTATATATATATATATATATATATATATATATATATATATATACACATATATATGAAATGCACTGATTAAAATAATAATTATTATAGAAGGGAGATCAGCAGAGTAAGTGGATCAGGGAAAGGGAGGAAGGGAAGGTACTGGGAAAGAGATTGAGCCAATAATGTTGCATACATATACAAATGTGACAAAATGAATCCAACTATTATTGTGTACCTATAATGCACCAATGAAAAAAGCAAGGAAAAAGAGAAACTTCTGCTCAAAATATTTATTTTTTATTTTTATTTTTTGACTCTGAATCACCTTTTTTCCTCTTTTTTATTGATTTTTTTAAAAAATTAATGACAGCACAATGCATTACAATTCTTATTATACTTATACTGCACATTTTTTCATATCTCTGATTGTATATAAAGTATGTTGACACCAATTCATGTCGTCATACATGTACTTTGGATAATGATATCTATCACATTCCACCATCATTGCTAACCCCCTACCCCCTCCATTTCCATCTTACCCCTCTGCCCTATCTAGAATTCATCTATTCCTCCCATGCTCCCCCTCCATACCCCACTATGAGTCAGCCTCCTTATATTAGAGAAAACATTCAGCATTTGTTTTTTGGGGGGGGATTGGCTAACTTCACTTAGCATTATCTTCTCCAACTTCATCCATTTACCTGTAAATGTCATGATTTTATTCTCTTTTATTGCTGAGTAAAATTCCATTATGTATATATGCCACATTTTTTAATCCATTCATCCACTGAAGGGAATCTAGGTTGTCTCCACAGTTTAGCGATTGTGAATTGTGCTGCTATAAACATTGATGTGGCTGTGTCCCTGTAGTATGCTGGTTTTAAGTCTTTTGGGTATAAACCGAGGAGAGGGATAGCTGGGTCAAATGGTGTTTTCATTCCCAAATTTCCAAGGAATCTCCATACTGCTTTCCTTATTGGCTGCACCAATTTGCAGTCCCACCAGCAGTGTATGAGTATACCTTTTTTCCACACATTTTCGCCAACACTTATTGTTGTTTGTCTTCATAATAGCTGTCATTCTGACTGGAGTGAGATGAAATCTTAGAGTAGTTTTGACTTGCATTTTTCTAATTTCTAGAAAAGATGAACATTTTTTCATATATTTGTAGATTGGTTGTATATTCTCTTCTGTGAAGCATCTGTTCAGGTCCTAGGCCCATCTGTTGATTGGGTTATTTGGGGGTTTTTTGGTGCTTAGCTTTTTGAGTTCTTTATGTACTCTAGAGGTTAGTGCTCTATCTAATGTGTGAGGGGTAAAAATTTGCTCCCAGGATGTAGGCTTTCTGTTCACCTTACAGATTGTTTCTTTTGCTGAGAAGAAACTTTTTAGTTTGATTCCATCCCATTTATTGATTCTTGGTTTTAATTCTTGTGCTATAGGAGTCTTATTAAAGAAGTTGGGACCTAACCCACATGATGAAGATTAGGGCCTACTTTTTTTCTAGTAGACGCAGAGTCTCTGATTTAATTCCCAGGCCCTTGATCCACTTTGAGTTGAGTTTTGTGCATGGTGAGAGATATGGGTTTAATTTCATTTTGTTGCATATGGATTTCCATTTTTCCCAGCCCATTTGTTGAAGATACTATCTTTTTTCCAATGCAGGTTTTTGTCACCTTTGTCTAATATAAGATAATTGTAATTTTGTGGGTTAGTCTCTGTGTCCTTTATCTTGTACCATTGGTCTACCAGTCTGTGTTGGTGCCAGTACCATGCTGTTTTTGTTACTGTTGCTCTGTAGTATAGTTTAAGGTCTGATAGAGTGATGCCACCTGCTTCACTCTTCCTGCTAAGGATTGCTTTAACTATTCTGGGTCTTTTATTTTTCCAGATGAATTTCATGATTGCTTTTTCTGTTTCTATGAGGAATGTCATTGGGATTTTGGTCAGAATTGCATTAAATCTGTATAGTGCTTTTGGTAGTATGGTCATTTTGATAATATTAATTCTGCCTATCCAAGAGCAAGGTAGATCTTTGATTTATTTCTTTAGGATTCTGTAATTTTCATTGTATAGATCTTTCACCTCTTTCATTAAGCTGATTCCCAAGTATCTTAATTTTTTTTTGAGGTTATTGGAACAAGACAGGGATGCCTCTTTCACCACTTCTGTTCAACATAGTTTTTTAAACACTGGCTAGAGCAACTAGATGAAAGAAATTAAAGGGATACATATAGGAAAAGAAGAACTTAAATTAGTACTATTTGCTGATGATATGATTCTATACCTAGAAGACCCAAAAAGCTCTACCAGAAAACTTCTAGAACTAGTAAATGAACTTAGCGTAGTTGCAGGATATAAAATCAACACCCATAAATCAAAAGCATTTCTGTATACCAGTAACAAATCCTCTGAGAAGGAAATGAGGAAAACTACCTCATTTACAGTAAACTCAGAATATTTTAGAGAAACGTTTTCTTGTATAGGTTAGGACAACATGAATCTGAATTACTTTGCAAATAAAAGATGACCCTTCTTTTGTTAATTTGTCATACTGCAATTATTTTTATTTTATTTATTTATTTACTTTTGGTGCTGGAGATTGAATCCAGGGCCTCATGTATGCCAGGCAAAATGCTCTATCACTGAATCACATTCCTGGTGCATCTGCAGCTATTTTTTAAAAAGTCAGAGAAAAACATTATGTTTATCATGTGTGATTATATTTGCAATAGCTTTTATGTATGTCATAAAGCAGACAAAATTAGCAGCATAAATAATCAGAGCTAGGAAAAGATATGGTTAGGCAGCTTGAACTGAGAGTCCAGGTACTGAGCCCCCAACTGAGCAGGATCAGCTATCCACTGAAGTCATATGAGACTGTGAGACAAAGTGACATCTTTTTGTCAAGAACAACATTAAGGAGGAATGCAAAGAATCTTGAACCATGAACCTGGGTAAGAATATAGATACCTCTTACATGAGCATGGTGAGCTGGGCGAGGGGGCTAGGCAGTAATTGATCAGAGGTATACTTGTAGCAGGCACCCATTTGATCAATTGGTCAAGTTATATTCGCAAGAAATGTAAGAGAGAACATAAAGTGGCTAGTCTGAGAGGCTGGGCTAGTTTAGCCAAATATTCTATATCATGAGCTTGTTTTGTTTTGGTAGTAAAGACATTCTGTCCTTCTAATGGAGCAGTCCTGGTCTATGCTGTCATTCAGTGTAAAAGGGCAATATCCTGTATAGCAGTAATGGTCTGTTGAGTGTCTGGCTACGTACCCATTTACATTTTTCATTCAAAGCATGTAAAGGCCAGAGATATGGCTCAGTGATAGAGCAGTTTTCTAGCATGCACAAGCCCCTGGATTTGACCCCCCAGCACAGTAAAAATAATAAAATGAATAAATAAAAGTATATACTCATTTTATTTTAAATGGTTGAACTTATCAGTAAAAGGAGTTGAAGTCAAGAAGGAATTATGAATAGAATGCTCAACTTTAAATTGTATGCACAGTATATTTTCATTGAGGAATAATCGTTAATGAAAATTATTTGTAGTCTTTTTAATTGCCCTTTTATAATGTAATTTAATTAATGATGCAATCTTATAACCTTTTTCTTAGCATACATCTGTGGATGGATATACGGAACCACACATCCAGCCTACCAAATCAAGTAGCAGACAGAACATCCCCCGGTGTAGAAACTCCATTACGTCAGCAACAGATGAACAGCCTCACATTGGAAATTACCGTTTACAAAAAACAATAGGGAAGGGGAATTTTGCCAAAGTGAAATTGGCAAGACATGTTCTAACTGGTAGAGAGGTAAGTTTTTATGATGCCTTTTAATATTTGCCTGGACTTCTCCAGAGTGTTGTGAAAGAGCTTTCTTAATAGTTGAAGTTGAAGAATAAATGACAGTTGCAACATGTGATTTATTATGTGTGCATGGAACATTTAGTAAACTGATCTGTATCATGGCATAAAATGTGATCTTTTAGCATTTAGGAAAGATTGATACATATTAACATATTAACATCTCTTGTAAATCAGATGTGCTGCAAATGAGCAACTTTCGGCCTTCCATCTTTTATTATATGGTTTCTTTAAACATTTCTGATTACCATTGCTACTAATCTCAGGAACAAGGCTAGGATAAGCTCTTAGCTTAAGGTAAGCTAAGTGCAAATATGTAGAAAATTCCCCACTAGTTTTTGTTTAGAGACCCCAGTAAATGAATGTTGTTATACAGGTGGTTTTCTCGGTGATAAGAGAATTGGATTTCTAAAATCCCTTGTGTTTTAAATAATCTGTACTTGTGTGGTGGTAAAAATTTATATATTTGCACATTGTACATTTTATATTTATGTCTGTATGTTTGGGTTAAAGACTTCATTTAAATAAATAGCTCACGATCGTATTATGTAGTGTTTACTAGATCTGATTAGGACATTATTTTTAAAAGTCTCAACTACAGAATTACTTTAATATTTTCACTTTATGTATACTTTTATTGTCATTTTCCATTTAATTTAGTTCATTCCAACCCTAAGAGCTGTTTACATACAGGTTATACCAGATAGAGCCTTCAGTGATGTTTAAATCCATTTTGCCTTTTTGCTATAAGAAGGCTTGCATTGGGGCTGGGGATGTGGCTCAAGCGGTAGCGCGCTCGCCTGGCATGCGTGCGGCCCGGGTTCGATCCTCAGCACCACGTACAAACAAAGATGTTGTGTCAGCCGAGAACTAAAAAATAAATATTAAAAAATTCTCTCTCTCTCTCCCCCACTCTCTCTAAAAAAAAAAAAAAAAAAAAAAAAAAAAGAAGGCTTGCATAGCTAATCTCTGTATCCATGTAATCATTTTATTCACATAATATTTTAATTACTACATGTTTATAAGTTATCCCCCTATGTTTGTTGCTTATTGAGATCATGAGTAAACAATTAAGATACAGGGGTGATTTTTACAGTAAAAGAGAAAACTTGGAATAAACAGCAAAGGCTTAATTTCATTGACACAGGATCAGATATGTTAAAGACAGGTCAATGGAATATATTCTAAGACTGACAAGTTTACAAAACTACCAATATCATGAATACTCAAATAGAACTAAATAATGCATAATTAGGAATGAAACAAAAGACATTTTCTTTGTAAGTTTTTATTCATTAAAATATATATTCTCAAATACAGCTTAATGATTCTCTTTTCTAGGTTGCTGTGAAAATAATAGACAAAACTCAGCTAAATCCTACCAGTCTACAAAAGGTAATTAATTTTAGCATGTAATTAGAATGTGAGTTTATTGTTAATACATAAAGTTCTGTAAAGTCAGTTATCTGAATTCTTCTATTAAGTTAAGTATAATACTACATTTCATACATGTATGAAGAAAAAACATGATATAAAACATAACATTTACAAATAAATAGTTGTTTGAAAAATATCTACTACAGGTTGAATCCCCTTTACCCAAAAAGTTTGGGAATAGAAGTGTTTAAGATTTCAGAGATTTTTGGATTTTGGAATACTTACATAGACTTTATTGTAATGCATATTCCATATGAAAGGAATTTATCTCTTTTAATTGAGAAGAATAAAACTTTGTATCATATTTTGAAGTATTCAGGCTTCTTAGTTTAAAATCTAGTTTTGAGTTAATATGAGAACAGGTGTTCTTTTATTGCTTCACTTAGCTCTTCTTTTTTCTCATAGCACTTGCCTTTCAGATTACTCACAGTAAAAGACAGGAATATTTCTTTAAAGAGTGAAAATACAAAACCACATGGGGAGAAAAAAGAACAGTTAGAATGGGAATTATCCTGGTAAACCAAAGTTGTTTCTTGTTACTTCATTCATTACTTCAATGGGAAAACTTTCTCAGATGTACATTTTCATATTTTAAAAATGAAGCAAGTAATTTATTGTTAGGCCATGTATACTGTTTGTATATAGTGAAATTTTATATATATGTATATATAATTCACATACACATATATATTATTATATAGATAGATAGATTGATTGATTTGTATTAAAACAGAGTAGGATCATAGTCACATAGGCAAATGTGATAAGACTTTTGGAGTCCCAGAACAGAGAGAAGAAATTTTTATGCCAGGTACAGCAGCTTGGGAGACTGAGGCAGGAGGATTGAAAATTCAGAGCCAGCCTCAGCAACTTAGTGAGGCTCTAAGCTCCTAGTGAGATCCTCTCTCAAAATAAAAAAATAAAAAGGGTGGGGGATGGAACTCAGTTAAGTGCCCCTGGGTTTGATCTCTGATACCAAAAATAAATAAATAAATAGATAAATAGACAGGTAGATAGACAGATAAATAGATAAATAAAAGAAAGTTTTAGTATGGCATGTTTAACTACATCTGCTATGATTCTAACACTACATTTTAAAATATGGATTTGTGATATCAAAACTTCCTTCCCATTTGTCTTAGTGCCAGATAACTCAAGTATATTTTTATGTCCCTTTAGAGAACTGTCTCTGTACTTTCCTGAGATTCCTTTTAAATGTGACAACCAATATAACTTTTCATAGCACTGATATTTCTGCTCAGTGAGAACATGAAAAGTTTCCTGGATTCTTCTTTTGCAGTGAAAGTGAGATAATTATTATGGATTTCTTCTGGGAGAAAATCTCTTCTACATTACCAGTCTTTCAGCTAATGAGGCATTTGTGTGAGTGACAACAAGGCATCCTCCTAGGCTGATGCATTACCCAAAGGTGTTATCTTTTACTGGGCTGAAGCCACAGTGGGACAGAATTTTGTTCACCCATTTGAAACACACAGACTACTAACAGTACCCAGGTGTTCTCTCCATAGCCCACCTAGATTTTGATTTTTTTTCCTGGATTAAGCCATGGATTACTTTGGCAAACTGAGTGATTTTTAGTGACATTTAGAACTTCTAGATGGGATACATAATAATGTGATCTCCCACTCTGTCTTTAACAAGAGGTTGCAGAGAATGCTTTAAAGCACAGTTTTAGTTGTTGAAACATTTGAACATGAAGCTGAAGGTTGCTTTATTTATCTGCTTTTATTTAACTAAAAGATTTCCTTGTTGTTAAATAATTTCTGAAATTAAATAATTTCTGCTAATCTTTGCTGATATGTGTTGCTTTTTTAAAACAAGCATGTAAAGAATGATGTGATTTTTTTATTATAATTGCTAGCACATATTAATTGCACATATTAATGGAATTCACTGCGATATTTCCATACATGCATAATCATGCATTCGTCATGTCCATTCAGGCATGATACAATTTTGTTTTCCTTAACCTGTGAAAATAATAGCAAAAGAACAATTGAGATTCACTAATTATAACCAGTATACATTGTTGTTTTTAAACAGTTGCATTTATGTTCATAGAGTTGCTTTCTATTAAGTTTTGAGGAGAAAAACAGATCAAGGTTTGATTAGTTCTCATCATTAAAGAACATTCATTTGGCCTTACCTGTCTGCTCAGTAACATCTCCCAGTTGGTCATATCTAAAAATTAAATAATGGAATGAAGGGCAATTCATTTGTTTTCCCTAGCATTGTAAAGTAAGTTCTCTTGGTAAAGAAAAAAATAGTAAAATATGCCTCCATGTCAGGTGTGCTTACTAAAAGGCAGATAAGAAGATACTTAAGAATTCATTTTAATCACACCTTCAGAAGTATTTTGTTAACTCTTGTTCTGGTTTTATCTGAACTTAGCTATCCCCTCTTTCATCCTCTTCATGCATAATATATTTATAAGGACTATTGCCTGCCTTTGCCAATATCAATAATAGATAAATGAATCTAGATTTGGACTGGAGATGTAGCTCAGTGATAGAGCACCTCATACATGAGGTCCTGGGTACAATCTCCAGTACTGGGGGGTGGGGAGGAAGAGAATCTAAATTTGAGGTGTCATCAGTTTAAAACTTCTAAAATCTAAAGTTCTTAAAAACAGTTTGGTCTTTGGAATTGTTAATTGTCTTCAACATTATTCACTAATATGGTCATATTATTTGTGTCATGTATATTAAATTAATGGGATCCAATTTGATGAGTTTTCAAAGTTTAAAAAGTGTTTGAGATAGATATTATATTTATAACTTCCTCTTCAAAGTATGAGTCCCACCTCATGTATTTGTGTTTTTTTGAGAATGACCCAGGACCCGTACTAGTGATCCCTGGGGTTCTTTTAAGCAATGTAGTAACGTTGAAGGAAAACTAACACAGTAAAATGGTTTTGTTCATAGTTAATAAATTTCAAGTGTATAATCTTAATTTTCTCATAAATTCCACTACTTTTGAAATGTGGACACATTAGTTTATGCACAGATGGCAAAGTGTGTGTTAATCTGGCTTAGTTCAGAGTCACTAGCATGCAGTTCATCTCTGCTAACATTTTTTTCTCTTGTGTATTGTTTATTTTAATTAATTAATTAATTAATTTTGGTACAAGAGATTGAACCCAGGGGTGCTTAACCACTGAGTCACATCCCCAGCCTTTTTTTATTTTTAATTTTGAAACAGGGCCTCACTAAGTTGCTGAGGCTGACTTTGAACTTGCCATTCTTCTGCCTCAGCTCTCTAGCCACTAGGATTATAGGTGTGCACCACCATGCCTGGCATTGTGTATTGTTTATTAATTTACATTTTCTGTGGTTTTACTTTTGTGTGTGTGTGTGTGTTGTGTGGTACTAGGGATTACACTCAAGTGCACTCAACCACTGAGCTACATCCCCAGCCCTATTTTGTATTTTTTATTTAGAGACAGGGTCTTAGCATCTCACTTTTGCCAAGACTGGCTTTGAACTCAAGATCCTCCTGTCTCAGCCTCCCAAATGACTGGGATTACAGGTGTGGGCTACTGAGCCCCGCTGTGGTTTTACTTTGTTGCATAATATTCCATCCTCACAAAAATGGCCCAGTGGTTCAGAAGTGATTTCCTGGGTGGTAAAACCTGTAATGAAAATAAAGACAAGACTGTTACAACTTAGAATTACATTGTTAAGTAACAGAGGACAGCTGCATTAAAGTTATAAATGATGTAATTCACAGTGGTAGGATAGTGATTTTGTGTAAGTACTCCTACTTATGAAATTGTAAAAAAATTCAGTAATTGACATCTTAAATAAAAAATCCATTTATTGCTAGTGTCTGGTGGCCTAAGCCAGTTGAACTTCTATGCATTTTTAGATAATGCCAAGAAACCTTTCTGATAATCTAGTTATATTTTCCAGAACTGCAAAACAATCTCTTTTATGTTGAAGAATTTGGTCAGTAAAGATAGAGAAAAGAACAGAATTACAGAAGCAATATTAAGAATTTTAACATTTCTTAGCAGATTACCAAGAAACTAGGTTTATAAAACCAGATCACAAAATTATTGGAAAATATTTTGATCAAGGCAAAAGCAGCAGAAGCTCTTTGGTGCTGTTCCTTAACAGATGTCTCTGTTAGACATATGTTGAACTATCAGTTCTCCTCATGTATTCATGCTTTAAGTTCTCTTAAAAAGAGTGTATTTCACTTTATAGCTGAGCAACACCACCTACGAGTTCTTTTTTCCATAGTTCTTGTCACATGTGTGGAATGAAAAATCTTGACCAATGCTTATGTAGGTCAGTGGAAACCTGAGTGATACTTAGATTTTAGCGGGGTTGTAGACTGCAAAGTTGTTTTGAATCAGAAATGATGAGGTACCTATGGAGTTTTTCTTTTCATTTTCTTCTTTCATTCTGCAAAAATGATACTGTCATGTGAGTAAATAAGATTATACCTAATGTCCAGCCACTCATTGCTTCATTTTCTATGAAGAGTGGATAGTAACATGCCTCTGATCTTGATTTGGTTTTGAACAAAATACTGAAAAATAAGGATTATCATAAAATCATAGCTAAGAGTTATTCTTTAGCATACAATGTGAAGAATTGATGGGAAGTGTGTCTTTTACTTTGAAATAAGATAGGTTTTGAGAGAAATAGCATTCTAACAAGTTTTTAAAAAGAAAGTAATAATAATATAATATTAATATAAATCTAATATATAAATAGTTTCAATGTTGAGGAAAAGATAACCAGATTTGCTATAAAGAATCAAGCTGTTTCAAGCAGTTCGCTGACTAAATATCTGATGTCTAAAACTCATTTGCCCTCTTTAGTTATTGGAGAAAGTTTTCAATAACATATTATTGGGCATGTATAATATACAGTTCTGCATCCACATGTGAAAAATACCCTCCGCAATAAGCATATCCAAAGAGTATA